AGTAGAGTTTACACGTCACGTTTTGGTAACGGTTCGGCGCGCTTGGAACCTCGGCTGAGGTGGTACTAAAAAAAGGACCAGGTACCAGGTACTGTTCCCAGTGGAAACCCCCCCAAAAGTGAGCTGAACTGAACCGTGTCGTGCCGTACTATGCAGTGGAAAAGCGCCATAATAGTACCCAGTAGGGCTGGGTAATGTAATGGATGCTGAAATTTTGCATCAACATGTTAACCAACATGGTTTCTATTAACTTGTGAAAGTTAAAGACCATCCATCCATCTTGTCTATAGTTCAGGGCCACAAAGTAGCCTGGAGTTTAGTCAATTTAGATATGTAAATCTGGCAAAATGCATGTCATTTGCAATGCAATTAAGATGTGTAAATTTGACTAAATACACGTTGGAGAAAACCCAAATTCCTGGAGTACTGCATGACCTGCGGAGAGCATGTAGACTCCAATCACAGACGCAGCATTTGAATCTCCAGATGTGAGAGAACAGTACAGCACATTTCTGACTGTGTTCAAGTTGCAGAGGAAGTCTTGCTATAAGACTTACCTATGTCTGACTTTCCTGTTGAGCGACATGACTCAGAAATGATGTCAGGGCTTAGCATGTCTGTAGAAGATTAGGCAAAGGGCAGGGGAGGATCATGGGGCCTGGATTCACCCTCAAAACAATTGTCTATGTACTAGGAGCAAATTGCCATTTCATTACTAGTCAAAATGTTGTTGACTTTTATTTCATTGCAGGTTAAATTGTTTTTCTCCCATCGTCGGTCCTAGATCCTGTCTGAAGGCTGAAGTATAACCAGTCTGTCAGAGAGCACATACACACGTGGGGAGATGACAGTAAATGTTACCAAGTCTTTAGATGGCAGGAAAGCCGCACAGCACAGGAAGAACGTCAACTCACACACCCACAGCAGAGGATGGAACCCACAGGCCTGAAGATGTGAAGGGCCACCCCCCAGGTCAGTGTGCAGCTCCCCAACGCGAGTCCATCGAGGTTTCATTAGCGGTCCGGCTTTGTTAGAAACTGGAAGTCTGTCCGTTTCATGGTCCCGTACCTCCAAGCCATTCTTGCAGTTTCACAGTGGTGTGTTTCTTGGTTGATCAGAAGGTCGTTTCTTCAACTTACATTAGGATCAAGTGTCATTCAGTGACTTGACATTTTCATTTTAGACAAAAGCATCTGTTAAATAAATTAGATTGCCCTCTTGTGGCAGGGTAAACCCATAAACAGCTGCTGTAATTCTTAGTGTAACATGAACACAAATAATGACTTTTGCTGTCTGATTTTTATTTTACCATCTAATGGTAATAATAATTTTTCTAATGGTAAAATCCACTTTTTATTGCCATCAGTCTTATATACAGTATATTCATGAACATCTCACTACTAACCACTGCACCCGGTCTTCTTGTGCGTGTCTCACTGGTATCATCTCTGTGTGCATTGTATGTTTCATGTCCTCACTATTCATATTCAGATTCCTTGTACACAATAGCACAGGCATGTCATTTGATAACTAAATCTGCTTCTCATTCAACCCTGAGAAAACTTGTTTAGTGTGACTTAAGCTAATACCAAATTACTTACTAAAGGCAATTTACGTACTCCACTTATATCATACATATTGTAATAGCTAAATATACTGGACCATACAATTATCTTTCTAACACTATGGATTAAATAAACTGAAACTGAAAAAAATGGTTTGTTTGAATTACTGCTAAAAAGAAACAAACACTGGTTTAAAAAAAGGCCTGGACTAAATTAGACACCTCTGACAGAAATTCAATTAAATCTGATGAGAGACAGTCGGCTCTTGTTTCCTGTATACCTTGCCTCACCAATAATTTGCAGGTTACATCCACGGGAAAACTTGCATTCCATAAGCTTAAAAAGTGAGGTGATATCAGTCACATCTACTCCAACTAACTTTTGTGCAGATGGCCAACACAAAAGAAGCAAGCTGTTTCTCCTGAGCAATCCCAGTCACCTGGTTGTAGTGATGGAATGGCTGACTAAGTGAGAGTGGTTATTTAAAAATATTAATTATGTTCACGCCCATGATCTGTTTTAACCGTTTTTCAGCTTTAAATGAAAGATCACTGTGGAGCCCGCTTTTGGGCAGCGATACCTGAGTCTTCTTCCTCACTAAAGCAGGTGAATGATTCAGTATGTCCCCTTTCCACAGTAGTACTGGGAGAAGTCAATTTCAATTTCCACATAACACCTCTCTGTCTTTTATGTTGATGCCGCAGTGGTATGCCCTCATTTCTTTTATGCCTATGATTTTAACTCTTCTACATAAAAAATAACACTGGCAGATGTACATAAATTTGTACATTTTTTTAAATATTACAAGGGCACTCAACAGATGCTGTCAAAAATAGTTCTGTCTGTCTATCTATCTCACAAATATATAGTCCGATGTTTGTATAGTATAGTAATTTAATGCCCTTTAATGCTTGTATAGTGTAGTACTATTATGTAACGTTATGTCAGTATGGAGGCGGCTACTTCACTTCACGGAATCTGTGTAACCCACTTGCACTATGACAAGTAAAAATCCTCGATCCTATAGTTGCATTTTGTGTTAATTTTACATTGTACAAAAGAAAGACATTAATTACTTCATTCATTACTTTGGTAAATTTTACCCAAAATGTTACAAATAACCTAGCAGGTTTTAGCACTTTACAATGCAAAACACATGATGTAAATGCATTAATTAAAATGATCTGAAATATCTAATTTCCATGACAATATATTCAATTTGAATTCAATTAAATAGTATTTGCATAGTGCACTTTCACAATACATTCTTTCAAAGTGCTTTACATTGTCCCTGCCCAAAGCCCCCAGTGACAGTGGCAAGGAAAAACTCCCTAGAAGGAAGAAATATTGGGAGGAACCAGAC